GAGATCTTTTACTTTTTTAATTTATATTGCTGGTCTCCATTTTATGTTATGTAATCCTTGACTTCAGGAGTGATAACAAACCCAATGAAATCAGAAATACATAAAGCAAGAATCACAAATTTTCAGCTGGCCATTTTCAGCTCTTGGAACCTCCAGTTCCGGACCCTTCATTTTATCCGCCCATATCCCCGGCAATCCAGCACCATCCAGAAATCCAAAATTCATCGCCAAAATCAACACAAATTTTACTCAACCAACACAGACATCGATCTCTTCTACTCTTCACAAACACAGAAGAAATTGCAGCAATGGCAGCCGCCGGGACAAGTGCCTCATTCACCCTTACAAAACTTCTTTCTTCCCCTAAAATCAAGCAACCCCTTTCTCTCCTCTCTCCACACAACAAACCCAATTCCCTATTCTCCTCTTTTGCCGCCTTTACCCCATTTTCCCTTAAATTCCACCACACAAAACCCTTGAAATTCTCCACCACCGCAATACCAAAAATCTCTGCCACCATCTCCGTCGGGGACAAGCTTCCCGACTCCACCCTCTCCTATCTCGACTGAAAATTATGTCCAGTGGCGCAGATTTGCATCCGAGCGGTGCTGAGGTAAGAGTTTCTGATTCAATTTGTGATAATATGAACAATGACAATGGTACTTGCCGAAATGGGTTTTACCCGAATGCAAAGAAATTCCAGCTCCTCGACTGAAAATTATGTCCAGTGGGCTTTACCCGAATGCAAAGAAATAGGTTTTGCCATGAGAGGTTGTGGGGGCGAAGACGGCGGGCGGTGTAGAGAGAATGGATGGAGGTTGCCGGTTGAATGGAGACGACGTGTTGTATTGAGAGAATGGAGGGAGGGAATTTAGGGACGTTTGTGATGTTGGGTGAAATTAAATTAGTGTTTTGCACTGATTTGCATTTTTAAAAAAAGTTTAGAAGCAAATTGCAATTTGTTTTTTATTTTTTNAATTAGTGTTTTGGACTGATTTACACTTTTTAAAAAGTTTGGGTATATAGTTACAATTCATTCTTTATTTTTCTTTTCTTTTGTTTTATTTTATTTATATTGGAGGGTATAATCGTCATTTTACGTTAAAAATTAGGGAAAAAGATGTTTTGCACAAAAAAGTGAAAAATAGGGACGTTCTGCGCCAAGAAACGAAAGATAGAAACGTTTTCTACAAAGACAGGCAAATGTAGGGACGTTTTGCGCCAATTACCCCATAGAAAAATATCTCTAACAATGCACCTATTCTGTTTTACTTTGCTTCTTGCGTGCATTTTTGTCGATGTTGGTCGCAAAATTTAGAAATTTTTTTGCCGTTACACAGTAAAAATTATTGGTCATTATTGACCAAAAAATACAGAATTACATATGTACCCTTTCGACATCTAATACACTAATTTTGAAAAAAAAAAAAAGGATTTATTGAAATTTAACTAATTTTGAATCAGACTTCTGGAAGGGGCCAACCTTCAATTGGACTGTCCAATTTTTCATTAATAGGCGAGAATAAGTGGTCATCTTTTATTTTTCGTTTACTATGATTGTAATAAAATACCTTTATAAAGTAACATATATTCAGCCTATGTTTAGTGTAGATAAAAATTAAGCCATGTTTGACAATTATTATTTCAAAACTCTTTTTTCCATCTATTCATTTTTAACCACATATTCAAACAATAAAATATTTTACACGTATATCCTATTTTCTTTTATAACCACACATTCTCCAAAAAATCTCTATTGAAAACTTCATTTTACCCAAATAATGGTTGTCAGACATATGCTAGATTTTTAGTGAATTTTGATAAAAGTTGATAAAACATATAGTTGAATTAACTACTGGGTCCAATTTTAAGAATTTTTCCACTTGTACAGTCACCTCCAATTTTAATGTTAGTGCTGCGTGATGACAATAAATGATATCTGGGTGCTGACAAGGATAAAGGATTTAGGACACGATCCGTTCTGTCCTGCTGAGTGGTCCCCTGATTCAACGTTGCACTTGCACTTGCACTTGCACTTGCACTTGCACGTGTGTTTGAGTCCAATTTTTGGCAAGCTTCTTTTTCTGCATCTATGGACTATGGGAGCCACACTGATAGAATTGTCAAAAATTTTAGAAAAATGCAACCATAATTGACTTTGGGGAAATTTGAATGTCTAAAATGTACGTTCCTAATTTACCCTTTAAATAAATGTTTTTTTTTTTTTTTTAAGGTAATAAGACATACAAATATTTACAAAGATCTATTATTAAAAATGTTCCATACAAAATTGTCCCTTCAACCTCCAAATATGTTAAGATTAAAATTAAGTTTAACATAGAGACTTTAAATAACGGCGACAAGCAAGAATTAGCCCTTGTTTAGCCCTGATTATAATGAGAATTTGGGAAAAATGAATTTTAAAATATTAATTTTTTGAAAAATGTGGGGTTAAAAAAGAATTAACCCTTATTTAGCCCTTGTTGAGTGATTTTCTTGCCAGTATATACAACCAATTCATATGTCATATTGTTATGCATCATATGCTGCGAAAGCTTTGTATTGAAATTATCACCAATGTCGAAAATGAAAATTACTTTCTTTGAGAGTGTACGAAACTGCTCGTGAAATTTTTTTGGGGATGGAGTGGGCCCAACCTAAATTCAAGTACAATATCGTAATTATATCAAGTCATTGTTTGATACAAATTCTTTAAAACTCATTGTTCTCCAAAATCATTTTCAATTGAACAACGTCATTTAAGGTGTAGAGTACCAATATATACGATATTATGGGATAGGTTCACAACCAAAGATGAAATTATGTAATTCATTTAATTGTACATTTTATTTAATAAAACTAAATTGTGTTGTAACACCGGTGGTATTAAATAACATTACTCTTTTTTATTACATTTTTTTTTTTGAATAAAATAATTTTGTATCTAGACTCATAAAAATTTTACTACTTGTAACCACATATTTTCTACATAATCACTTTTTAAAAATTGTAGACCAACATGCTAATATGAACATGCTTCTAGAGAAAAACGACCAAGTGCGATTGATCCTTTGTTTTGTGGAAATTCAAAATTAGATTTTAGTTTAAGCTAAAGTCAACAATTAACTTTAATTATATATTTCATGAGATTCACAATTTTTTAAACAATATCAATTTTTATAAATTAACTTCTCCCCTCTCTTCCCCTTCCTCCTACGCTCATGACTTATTCTTCTTTGCACACCTCATAATATTTGCTCAATTAACTTCGTAATCAGGAGTTTTAAAAATGAAACTGTATGCGATACAAATTTGTGAAATATGGTAATTTAGCTGCTAAATTGTGCTATTCCTAAACTATATGTTTAATTATTTGGGTTAATTTCACAAACGGTCACTGAAGTTACGTCAAAATCACAAAATGGTCACTGAAGTTTAAAACTTGCATTAATGGTCACTGAAGTATCATCAGGTTTCAGTAATGGTCACTGAATGACCTTTTTCATTTTAATTGGAACTTAATGGACCAAAATAGTTGAAACTTGAACCTTGAGGACCTAAATCAATCTTCTCCCAGACACCATTGCTGTTGTAGCGACGACGGCGGTGGTGGCGATTTCTCTGTGTTCCATGTTGACACTCTGTGTGTGTGTTGGTCTGGTTGTACTTCACTAGTTGTGGCAGAGGAGCAATTTATAGGGAAATGGAAGAAACATGCCTATTCTCCTTCCCACGATGGGCGGGAGAACATTTGCCCATCGTTGACGTGGCTCTTTACAATGATTTTCCCACCCCACCCCACCCCACCCCACCCCATATATATAAATGATTTTCTTTATTTTTGTCTCAATTTTCGAGTATATTATGTGATATCTAACGAAGTAGAAATATTACATTTTTAATATGATTCCGATCGCTACCTAGTTTCTCCTATCCCTAACGGCGTGCGAAACGGTCAACCGTATCAAAAGTTAGCACTCGTCGAAATAAGACGTTTCAAAATATATAAATGATTTTTCTTATTTTTGTCTCAATTTTCGAGGTCATTATGGGATATCAAACGAAATCGAAA